ATCTTCATAATTAGCTTTCCTGAGCCTCGGTATAGAAGCCGAAACTTCGGTTCCTTTTTTTTTTCAACAGGCGGTTGCAATCCATTAAAGTTTTCAAAACAACTAAGTCCACCCTGCCTAAAGCTCCACTGTAACATCTAGCATTTCTAACTTCGCCTGTAGAGTCTATCTGTCCAGTCTTTATAGCTAGTATCCCTACCTTCGCGTATAGAGTCCGCCTGGCCCATCTTTATAGCTAGCATCCCTACCTTCGCCTGTAGAGTCCGCCTGGCCCATCTTTAGAGCTAGCATCCCTACCTTTGCCTGTAAAATCCATCTGAGCTACCTATTTAGCTAACATCCCTACCTTCGCCTGTAGAGTCTATCTGGCCAGTCTTTATAGCTAGTATCCCTACCTTCGTCTGTAGAGTCTATCTGGCCAGTCTTTATAGCTAGTATCCCTACCTTCGTCTGTAGAGTCCGCTGGCCCATTCTTATAGCTAGCATCCCTACCTTTGCCTGTAGAGTCCATCTGGCCAATTTGTTTAGCTAGAAGCCCTACCTTCGACATAGTTCTTCAGATCCTTCTTTATAGCCTGAGTCGACCCTCGCCTGAAGAATTAATCTGATCCGATTAACAAGGCTAGCTACTGTATGATCAATTGTTGTTTTAGTTTAGATGTGAATAGAGAGTGTTTAAAACGGTTAGTTACGGAGTTTGGCCACCAATAGACTTGTCCTTTCACTTATGGCTAGTACGTTTTATTCAGTAATGGGTGGTATATTATTTATGGGCAGTATGTTCTGTCATGTGTGGTATCTTATATTCAGTTATGGTATCATATTTTTTATGGGAAATATGTTTTGTTCTGTTATGGATATTATATTCATTTATGAGTGTTATGTTGTATTTAGTATTGGGTAGTATGTTCTTTTTAGTTCTGGATTGTATGTTATATTCTATTATTGGTGGTATGCGGTATTCATTTATCGATGATATGTTAAGTTCTGTTGTGGGGGATACGTTGTATTCATTTATCGAGGATATGTTAAGTTCTGTTGTGGGGGATACGTTGTATTCATTTATCGAGGATATGTTCTGTTGAGGGGGATACGTTGTATTCATTTATCGATGATATGTTAAGTTCTGTTGTGGGGGATACGTTGTATTCATTTATCGAGGATATGTTCTGTTGAGGGTGGCATGCTGTATTCAGCTCTGGGTGTTGTATTATACTCCGTTATGGATAGTACACTGTATTCATTTATCGGTGGTACATTATGTTCTGTTGTGGATGGTATGTTGTATTCTGTTATCTCATAAAAACTAATGATGTACTGAACAGTATAACCTGAATAAAAAGTATCTTTAATTAAACGGATATTCAGATTTTGTCTGTAATTCTTCTTCACCGCATAGTGGTACAGTCATTTTGTTGTTGTTTGTTTTAGAGAGCAACATAATCATAAAACAAAAGTTATAATACGATATGTTCAGAAATAAGCGAGTGTTATACGATATGATGTAACTTTCATTAACGAAAAAACCCTCTCTGTCGTTTTATGACATCAAGTAAGAAAAGATGCGAACACAACGACCTCTTTCATTACTTGAGTTAAGTTCCATATGTCGCTGTGGTAATAAAAATTGTCAGTAGTGGCAGCAGCTATTTGGGCAAGTGAGTTCTTTTTATTACATCGGTTGTTTATGTGTAACGAAAGAGATCAGATTTACACTTAAGTAGAGTTAACCAGAAATCTTGGAGAATTAAAAGTTTAAGCTCCAAGGTTAGACGGAGTATCTGTCAAAAAAGAAGCATTGGAGATATTATAGAAGGACCTTCGGTTGTTGTTTTTTATGCTCATTCTTATTTAAAATATATTAAGAACGTTACACATCTTTTTCTTTTTTTATCACAATATCTGTTTATCTTTCTGCCTCAGAATTACGAGCAAATTTGTTCCAATTTACAAGTTTATATGATGGCTTATCAGTGGAAGTTCATTCGGTTGTTTTCGAACTTCAACAACTGTAGAAATTTTTAAGATTTTTTTTTTTTTTTATACTGTGATACATACCTTTGTTGAAAAGTTATCAATGTGGTTTGGGTAATGTTCTGTCTATTCTCCAGGTGGCGTAAGCGTCGAATCAGACCAATGAATTCAAAAGAGCTTAAAATCTCGTGCACACAACCCGGTGTTACCGGACAGGAACAGGACGAAATGGAACGTGAGCTGGCTGAAGATGCCGCCTGGAAAAGAATTCAACAAAATACCTTTACCAGGTGGGCTAATGAACATCTCAAAACAGTCAACAAGGCCATCGGGAACTTGGAAACTGATCTGTCTGATGGACTACGGCTAATAGCCTTAGTCGAGGTACTGTCTGGAAAAAAACTGCCCAGGTACAACAAGCGACCAACCTTTAGGTCCCAAAAGCTGGAAAACGTATCTGTGTCTCTCCTGTTTCTTCAAAACGACGAAGGAATTAAGATAGTTAACATAGGTAAGTGTCTCGTTTTGTTTTGTAAGATAGAAAAGCTGCGCCACACACCTGTTGGAGTATACATATATGTACGTGTTCTATATATTCTCACGTGCTCGCAGACTGCTTGGGTGAGGCTCGAAACGGATGCCGCTTGATACACTGCACGTATATTGCACTATAAAGTACCCCCTGAATCAAGATGGGAGAGTTGCACAAAGTTATGTTTATACTGCTCTTAGTGACAAAGGCCCATTAGTGGACTTTGATAGATAGTTTACATTATCCCGCAGGAACTGCTTCCTTATAAGTCAAAACTGACAGTTAACAGCTTGAATGGGTAATAAATAAATCTTTATTATAGATGTGCAAGGTTATGTCATAATCGGGTATGTTGTACATTTATAATAGTTTTTTCGTTTCCCATTTAAGCCGTCTCCAAACTTTTAAATGTTGCTTTTGTAGAGTAAAACTAAAGGATGAAACTTAATCAGTGACAGAATACGTGAATCGTAGGTTTTCAGTAGACGGTAACAATTATCACTTGCTGGTTGACGGTATCCATCTTAATCTACTACTAATACTACTACTAATAATAATAATAAAAATGATGCTTGAACATTTGTATTTTTAATTAAGTTCATTTTTGTTCGTAGAACATTCATTTCCTTCCTGCTTTTAAAACGTAGCCATATTTTATATCACCACGTCCAAGTCTCCAGGTTACACCGAGACTGACAAAATTACAACCTGGTTGGACGCAGTTAACATTCATCCACTGATGTATGTTCTTTTTATGTACTGTGAGTTGATTACAACACCACGTCTTAGTTGATTGTGTACCTGTAAAACATTCAACCAATGGTGTATCTTCTTTTTATATCGAGATGATTATTAGAAATAAGTGAAAATTCTCGGACTAAGTCTTGAAGAAAACCTGTTTATATTATTCAACAATCTGATGACGAGGAACCCATTTTTCGAATATAAAAGTTTGGAGACGGCTTGAATGAGTAATAAACAATACTTATATTATTCAATAATGCTTGTGTAGAAATTGAACACACAATCATTAAGCCTAACTTCCTGGTCATATTAATAATATATTCATGTAAGTGTAATAGAAACCTTGGAATACGTACTTTCACATAATTTGCATAGCGTCCCCAGGAATTAATTAACAATAGTCTGCTATTTCATAGCTGGCCGAGGTGAGCTTACCCTCCAAGAAATTAATTAGAGACTGGGACGAAAGGTAATAAACTACAGACGAGTTTGAGGTTGAATGGAGAACTAGAGCGATTAATTAAGGTGAGACTCGTTTTTGAGACTGTTTACTACTTTTGACCTGACCGGTGTAAATATTAGCTTGACAGTTACGGTTTGAGTTCAACAACCTCTGTTTTGGTTTGCAACTTGTATTAACTGTAACTTCTACTAACCAGGTTATGTCGGCTCGAGCTCCTATAGAACCTACAAAATGTTCACAATGAAACCCCCCCCCCCCAAAAAAAAACATGTTATACGATATACCTAATACAAACACAAGAAGTTCATGTTTCACACATTAACATAAGGAGATTTGTTTGTTTTGAATATTCGTGCAACGCTACACAAAGGTCATGTGCACTATCCGTCCCTAATTTATAACTGATAGACGAGAGGGAAGGCAGCTACTCTAATCGAATAGTGGAATTTTACAGTTAGCTTTTATAACGCAATCATGACTCCAAAGGTTGGAGCTCAGTTTTCTTTATTTTCGCCGTTATTGTGTATAGTAGGGGGACGTGAACCATGGAACCTTGGATCTACATGCTAATCAATAGGCAACGCTTGCCCAGACAAAAGGGGAAGTAACACATTATACACAGTAATTATTCAGAAAACGGCCGCTTTATATATAGATAAATGAAACCATGAAACAAGCATAATAAACACAGACTTACGTTTGTTTTCTGTAACAATTATTATTATTATTATTATTGATGTATTGAAATTCGCCTATAGTTGTTTCTACTGACATATCTGGTTTTGTGATTTGAAAGAAAGGCCTGCTCTAAAAGTATTTTTTTTTTTAAGTGTGTGTGTTTGGGGAGGTGGGGATTTTACTTGCCATAATTTGTATTCACATCATTAAAAAATAATTCGAGAAAGTAATCTTCTCTTCAGCCACTTTCACCCACTCTTATAGACATACACCTTCTTATTACCAATAGAAGTCATTACAATCTAGTTAATTAAAAACGTGGATGGTATTTTAATCGATACGTACACATTTCAAATCTACACCCACATTACTCGAGGTGCGTCTTCGCGTGACATCAGCTACTGCACGTGGCATGAGCGAGGATCTTACCTCGCCTTTCCGTGTTGTAAAGCCACAGTCGTAATTTGGCAACGTCAACAATTTTTTACTGTATTTAGTATTTGGAAAAGAAAAAACGTCGCGACATCTCTTGACGTGTTTCCGGTTTGTCTTCACAGGAAGTAATGATTTGTTTCATATCCAGGAGCTGAGTTGTTTAGTAAACTGTGGTATGAAAGTTTTCGAACAAAATTATTGATGTGTACGTGTGTGTTTAGGACCTAGCCTGCATGAAACTCGTGTGTTGTCAAAATCTGTCTGTGTTATTTAGTGGTTGTAAAGATTTGACATTCTGCATTCACTTTTATATTACTCTATAGTCGGGATTTCTTCAAGACCTGCTATCATCTGTTTATCATATCAGATTTTAATTTTAACAAAATTCCTACGCAAAAGATACAAGATAGGACAAAAAAATATTTTTTTAATCTTTTATTTGCAATAAAAAGAAGAAAAAAACTGCAATATAACGAGAAGTGTTACAGTGGTCTTATCCTACTGAAATTCATCATTGATATCTCTAGAAATGTCACAAGAGTATCATGGGCGCCCGCAGGAAGGGGCAAGGGGTCACTTGACTCCCCCTGGATTTTCAAAGAGAAAAAAAATAAATACTAGATATGTAAAATTATTCTTCTATGTTATTGGAAAATCATAAGATATTTGTATTTCGATTTCATAATTTTTTCAAACTTGAGTTACTTGACCCCCCCCCCCTAATTTTTCTGCGGACGCCTCTAAAATTTATAAATGACTCTCTGCAGAGGCGCGGGAATTTTCGGCGTTTCAGCAAGATATCGATCATAGTTTTTTTTAATCTGATATTTCAAGACCCCAGCTGGGTATTCGGAGCACGGATCCCGTGTGCAAGTGCCTAGCGACGCCTCCGCATCTCTGGAAATGTTGCAAACGTTTTACCGTATTGAAGTTTAGTATTTAACATATCTGTTTTCCTATTTACATCTATTTATCATTATAAGCGGTGTACTTGTTAAGTCCACCATGCCATCACTTTTCATTACAAGAAACACATGTACTCCAGTAATTGTAGAGGATGTAAGGTTGCTAATGATGAAGACACTTGTTGTTTATCAAAAGCATACTTGTCAAAACCAATACCTTTAGCTCCTTTTGAGGTTTTAAAAATGGTATAAAGTTACCATTCGCTTGTTAACATGTAGCCCTCGAGTAGCTTTGGCGCGAAATTCAACAAACAAAGAGTTTCTCATCTAGGAACTTTCCTTCGCATCATTACTACCTTACATAATACAACTATTTGTAAACTCAATAATGCAAACTCCACAGGGCTAAAAAGTAAACTAATCATCCATACCCAGATTATATAATACTAACAAATCTGACAAAATTCGTGAACATGGCCCTGAAAAGAGAAGAGTACCAGAAAGTACAAATGAAATGCATTATCATCACGCACATCATCATACTCAAGCTTAAAAAAATCACCAATAGTTCAGGAGGGAAGAAAAGGTCCAAGAAGTACCTGACTCTCCCAGGTCTACAAAAGACCTGATGCCGAAACGACAGGAACTTTCATGGACATGGCCCTGAAAAGGATACCAGAAATTAGAAAATAAATTCCATCATCAGCACGTCAATTATTATATTCCATAGCATCCAAAATCAATAATAATTCAGGAGGGAGGAAGAGGTCAAAGTAGAACCTGACCCTCTCGGATCCATAGAAAAGATCTAAATCCCAATCCAGACAAAAAGGAACTAAGTTGTTCCAGTAAACCGTGATACGGGAGTATTAGTGTGTACGTATCGGAGACGTGTGTGTGTGTGTTGAGGACCTACCCTTCATGGAACCCGTGGGTTGTTATAACATGTCTGTGTTGTTTATTGGTCGTAAACATTTGGTATTCTGCATTCACTTTTACATCTCTCTACAGCTGGGAGTCCTTCAAGATTTATCATCATCTGTTTATCATATCAGGTTTTAATTTTAACAAAATTCCTACGCAAAAGATAAAAGACATGCCAAAAATGTCCATCATGTCCCCACATCTCCATACAACACACCTCAATAACTGTAGAGGGATCAGGGTTACTAATGATGACGACACGTGCTGTTTATTAAAAACATACTTCTAAAAACCGATACCACTAGCTCCTTCTGAGCTTTTAAAACTGGTATAAAGTTACCATTCGCCTGTTAATATATAAGAGTGAGAACGTTTTGACAGAATAACGGACTTCCCGAATATTGTATTGTATGACTAGGATAATGTTTAACCTGTTATAAAATAAACTTGTAAGTCATGTGCAATCATTATTCGCATTCGAGACTATGACAGGTTATATTTTGTGTGATTAGGGCCAAAAAAAGGAAGGACTAGGTGAAATCCACCCCCCACACGGAATAAGAGAGAAAAATCAAAGACTGGATATATATTTTTTTAATGTTTCATAGAAACTTATTATTTAGTAGTTTTTCATTACAGCTTGTTAATTCATAAATATTTGCTCAACCATTATCAAAAACATTCGTTGTCGTTAATAAACATTAAACTTAATATTTTGTATACTATTCACCCGTCGCTTGTGTTAATGTGTTTCTCAGTCTGTATTTATATTATTAGTATTGAACTATATTAGAATTATTTATGAAGCTCGCAAATAATCTTTAATCTGG